GGACAGGGCAGAGCGGGGCAGGGCCGGAGGTGTGCGGGGTGGGGTAGGACCAGGGGTGTGCGGGGCAGAGCAGAGCAGAGCGGGGCAGGGCAGTGCGGGGCAGGGCTGGGGCTGTGCGGGGCGGGGCTGTGCGGGGCAGGGCCGGGGGTGTGCGGGGCAGGGCAGAGCGGTGCCATGCGGGGCGGTGCCGTGCCGTGCCAGAGGTGTGCAGTGCTGGGGGTGTGCGGGGCAGTGCCATGGGACAGTGCGGTGCCCCAGGGGTGCAGTTACCGGGGGCTGTGCGGTGCCCTGGCGGGTGTGGGCAGTATTTGGGGGGGGGACAGGAGAGTGCAGTGTGCTGCTGTGGTGGCAGGCAGTGCTGTGAGGGGACATTCGAGGGGGGTCATTCTCCCCCTCTGCTCTGCACTGGGGAGGCCACAACTGGAATCCTGCCTCCAGTGCTGGGCTCCCCAGTTCAAGAGGGACAGGGAACTGCTGGAGAGAGTCCAGCGTAGGGCAACAGAGATGATGGAGGGATTGGAGCATCTCCCTGATGAGGAAAGGCTGAGAGAGCTGGGGCTCTTCAGCCTGGAGAAGAGAAGGCTGAGGGGAGACCTTCTTCATGCTGACAAGTCTCTAAAGGGGGGGTTGAAGGAGGATGGAGCCGGACTCTTTCCAGTGGTTCCCAGGGACAGGACGAGGGGCAACGGGCACAAGCTGGACCATGGGAAGTTCCACTCCAATGGGAGGAAGAAGTTGTTTGGGGTGAGGGTGGCAGAGCCCTGGCAGAGGCTGCCCAGGGAGGGTGTGGAGTCCCCTTCTCTGGAGATCTTCAAGCCCCACCTGGATGCTCCTGAGTGATGTGCTCTGGGCAGCCCTGCTTTGGCCGGGGGGTTGGACTGGAGGGTCTCTAGAGGTCCCTTCCAACCCTGACAATTCCATGACTCCATGCCATCCAGCAGAGTGCAGGGGACGCAGTGCCGTGCCCCCTGCACAGGAGTGGGGGTGCAGACAGTTCCCAAGCTTGCAGGGGGGGGCCATGCATGACAGTGCCATGCAGCCCTGTTGTGGGGTAGCCCATCTCTGCAGCACCATCCTACCCCAGGGAGGGAGTGCTGGGTGCTGTGGGAGGCAGCGCAATTTTGGGGACCCCATGCAGGGAGAGCAGCGTGTGAAGGAGCACACACACCCCCCCCCCAGCAGCGGAGGCGCAGGAGACTCCCAGGGCTCGGGGCTGCTGAAAGTCCAACTTCCCCGTTAAATATAAACCTGCCATGGCTCTCGCCCAGTGAACCGCTCCCTGTGGCCCTGTGGCCGGCAAGTGAGGCAGGATCCTCCCGAGCCGCCTTCCTCCCCTTGCCCAGACCCCCACCAAAATGGCCACCGTCCCCCTTGGCTTCAACATCGACGCCCCACGCTGGGACCAGGGCACCTTCGTGGGACGCCTGAAGCATTTCCTCAACATCACCGACCCGCGGACGGCGCTGGTGTCGGAGGAGGAGCTGGACCGGGCCAAGGCCCTGGTGGAAGGCTGCAGGTGAGGGGCTGGGGTGCAGCCATCGAGAAGGTGCCATCTTGATGCCCACCAGGGCCACGGGGGAATGGAGGTGGCCCTTCTCCAGCCAGCATGCCAGGACCTAACCTCCACCGGGGGTGGTTTTGGCAGGGGGGGGAGGGTTTCCCAGGCTTCTCCCAGGAACCTCAAGCTGGGACAATTTTCCCTCATGGGAGATGTTTCCTCTGCCTTTCATGTTTGGTGCCCAGGGCATGGGGGCTGGTGGTCCTGGGAGGCGGTGGCTCTGTGGGGCTCCCCCGTGACGGGCTCTGGGGCTTGCAGGGCTGGGCTGGTGCCACCAGGAAGCAGCCAGGAGCAGCTGCTCTATGCCAAGAAGCTGTACGACTCGGCCTTCCACCCCGACAGCGGCGAGAAGATGAACCTCATCGGGAGGATGTCCTTCCAGGTGCCGGGGGGCATGGCCCTCACCGGCTGCATGCTCCAGTTCTACCGGTGAGCTCCTGGGGATGCAGCCCTGACAGCCCCCAGCCCCTCGAGGGGTCCTTGATGGCCAGGGTACGGCCAATCTGCCTTCTGTGGGGCTGGCCATGCCCATGGCTGCCGTACCTGCCTGTGTCCCATGGCCAAGCCCCGTGTCCCTGTGCCCTGTCCCTGTGCCCAGCCTGTGGCAGAAGCATTGTGGGCCCTCCTGGCCCCTGGTATGGCTGGGGTCGGTCTTGCTTCACCCTGGGCACTCAGCTTAGCTCTTTCCAGAGCTGTAATGATTAACACAAGTCCTGTATGGCTGCTGCTCGTGCTCCATGGACCCTCATGGCTCCTCAAACCAGGAACCAAACATGTCCCCAGGGCTAGATTGCTGCAGCATCTCCACCCCTTGCCAATCTTCCCCCCTGCATTTCCTTTCTGAAACGGCTGCTGGGAGGGGAGCGATCCTGTCCCCAGCACAGGGGCTGTGTGGGACAGACACTGCCTTTCCCAGTGGGTCCCCGTCCCATCCCACCCCTGCTTGCTGGTCTGGTTTGCCGGTTGCCAGTGAAGTCCAGCCTGGGTGAGAGACCTCCTGGTGCTGATGGGTCACCCTCTTCCCAGCCCATCTCCACCCAAAGTTTGCTGAGACCCATGACTCCCCGTGTCCCCTCCTGTCCCACCTCAGTTTCACTGAGACATCAGTAGGAACTCAGGCATCGTCCTGGTCACCCCCAAAGCCATCTCTGTCCCCTTGTGCCCCCTCCTTGCCGCTCCCGTTGACAAAGGCTTATCTCAGCCCGCAGGATGGCTGCCACCCTGCTGAGAGCAGGTCTCCCACCCCTGGCCGAGTGCCCTGCAGGGTTGGTCCCCCTCCTGTGCTCCCCAAAGCCCCGTGGCAGCCAAGACTCCTGGGGTCATTTCCCAGCTCTGCCACTGGCTCGTAGCTTTGCCACAGTGCCTCAGTTTCCCTTGTGAGACACCATGACAAGAGTATTGAGGGCATCTTGGCTGTCTCTACACGAATCTTGGCCACGGGCACAGACCAGGTGTCCCTGATGGCCCTCGGGAGCTCTCCCATCCCTTCCCTCTGCAGGACAGTGCCCGCCGTGGTTTTCTGGCAGTGGGTGAACCAGTCCTTCAACGCCATCGTCAACTACACCAACCGCAACGCCGCCTCTCCCATCTCGCTGAGGTGAGCGTGCCCTGGCGCAGGATGGGGACCCTCTATGTTGGGACCCCCCTGATGCCCCATAAAGACCCTCTGTGCCCTGTCTCAGGCACCGAAGGAATGAGATTGAGTCAAACTTGGGGTTTCTGTTCTCTCCTTTCTTTGGAAATCACTCTCCAGGCAAATTGGGGTGGCGTACATCACAGCCACCGGTACGGCCCTGGCCACCGCAGTGGGACTCAACCTCTACACCAAGGTACGTGGAAGCTGGGGCTGGGTGAGGCAACTGGCCTCATCCTGCCCTCCCACACTGATGCCAGCCTGTCTCCTGCAGCGAGCACCCCCCTTGCTGGCCCGCTGGGTCCCCTTTGCGGCCGTGGCTGCTGCCAACTGTGTCAATATCCCCATGATGCGGCAACAGTAAGTGCCATGCGTGGCCAGGGTGCTCGAGGAACCTGGCTTCCTCTGAAGGCAAGCCAGTGGCCACCAGGCTCCTGGGCTGCCTGGTCGCCCTGCCATGGTTTCCCATCCCAGGAGGGGGTGGGAGTATGGGAGGGAGGTGACATGGGGTCTGCGAGCTTGTGGTGCCAAGTGGGGTGGCTCAGCCTCTGCCCGGAGCAGGAGAGGGATTTGGGGCTGAGGATCTCTGTTCTGGTGTCTGGGCTGGAAGATCCCTCAGACCCAAAAGTCTTCTCCATGTGTTCACGGGATAGCCCCAGTGGATGATGTCCTAGTGGTGGGACTGCCCAGATGGGGCCCACGTGGAGACCTGTGTCTGCTGCTTAGGGTCCTCTATGGGTGATGGCACAGGGAGGTGGGGTGTTGTCCTGGGGACTGTCCCCTGGCTCGACTGCAGGTCCCAGGTGGGTGTCCGTCCATGGGACAGCTGGACCCTGTTCACAGCCATGCCCTGAAGATGGCAGCATCGGCTGGGCTGGGGACCATGGCACCCCAGGGTGATGGAGCCCTGTGCCCCGGGGACAGGTCTGGGGGTGGTGGGGGCTGCTGTGCCAGCACAGCACAGATGATGATGGCATCCCCTTGGCATCCCTTCACCCCATTGTTGTGTCCTCACGCTTACCCGACCATCCCATCCCCACTTACATCTGCCTGTCTCCTCCAGGGAGATCATCAATGGGGTGACAGTGACAGATGAGGACAACAACGAGCTCGGCAGCTCCAGGGTGAGTGTCGGGATGGATGTCCAGGTCGGGGGGTGGTGTGGTGTGTGGTGGGGGCTCACCCACTACTCTTGCTTGCAGAGGGCAGCGGTGAAGGGCATCGCGCAGGTTGTGGTCTCCAGGATCACCATGGCAGCACCGGGCATGAGTGAGTGTGGGGTGGGAGGGTGGGGGGCCAGTCCAGGGGCTCCCCCAGGACCCGCCACCTTGCCCTCCCTTGCCTCAGTTTCCCCCTGGGAAGGAGAGGGAGGGTGGTCCTGCATCCCGGGTGGTGTTTGGTCTCATCTCGCTGATGGAGCTGGTCCCTTCATCCTGCCATTCCCATCAGAGTCCCCCAAGCTCCCAGCCCTCCCCATCCCAGCCCATGGGGGATGTGGGGTGCTCCCATGGTGGTTGGGGCCCACAAGGACACCTCTCACACTCTCTGGCCCTGACTCCTCACCCCACATCCCCCTGCTATCATGGACCCTTGCTGTGCCACAAGCCTGGCAGGAGGGATAGGAGCACGAGGAGTAGAGACTGTGCTGTGGGGACGATGGATGGATGGGGGTCCTGTGCCAGATCCCTGCTGTGAGCAAACACCCAGTAGCCCCCAGCACAACCAGCCGCTGCCACGGCCTCTGGGAGGAGGGTCCTGCTGGGGCAGTCCTGCAGGATGGCTTGTGGAGGGGCCCTGACCTCTTCTTTCTGCACCCAGTTATTTTGCCCATCATCATGGAGCGACTGGAGAAATACCCCTTCATGCAGGTGAGCCCACATTTCTCTTGCCATGGTTTTTCAGTGGGTCCTGCAGTGCCCCAGCCCTGCTCCCCAGCTGCCAAGATGCTGGGGATACAATGTTGGGGGGGTTGCAGACCCTGGCTTGCTCTCATAGAATCATATGGGGTTGGAAGGGACCTCTGGAGATCATCTAGTCCAACCCCTCCACCGGAGCGGGTCTACCTAGAGCACATTGCACAGGAACCTGTCCAGATGGGTTTTGAATGTCTCCAGAGAAGGAGACTCCACCACCTCTCTGGGCAGCCTCTTCCAGGGCTCTGCCACCCTCACAGGAAAGAAGTTCCTCCTCATGTTTAGGTGGAACTTCTTATACTCAAGTCTGTGCCCATTCCCTCTTGTCCTGTCACTGGGCACCACTGAGAAAAGACCAGCCCTGTCCTCCTGACACCCTCCCTTTAAGTATTTGTATGCATTAATTAGATCTCCCCTAAGCCTTCTCTTCTCCAGACTCAAAAGACCCAAGTCCCTCAGCCTCTCCTCTCCCCCCTGTTCGAGTCACCAGTACACCAAAGGTCTCAGGTGACATGGAGAGGCCGTGGGAGGGTGGAAGGGGTTGGTGGCATCCCAGAGATGGTGGGCATTCAGCCCTGTTGAGGGGAGAAGACTCTCCACGCCATGAGTGGGGCTTACTGTGAGGGTGGGGACTCACTCCTGGCTCTTCCCTTGCAGCGGATCCGGGTTCTCCATGGACCTCTGCAGGTGCTGCTGTGCGGGGGCTTGTAAGTATCTCACTGCTCGAAAGCCCATGAGTGCCCAGAGCGTGGATCCGAGGGGTGCTTGAAATCACCCCAGAAGGAAAACCTCTTTCCCAGCAAGGGATTGCAAAGCTGCCTGCCTTTCAGCCTGGGCTTTTCCCAGTTATTGGGAGTTCTGGGGCACAAGCAGCATCCCTTGGGCTGAGATCCCCATGGCTGCGATCCCCAACACTAACACTCTGCCCCTCTCTGTCCCACAGCCTCCTGTTCATGGTGCCGACAGCCTGCGCCCTGTTCCCACAGAGATGGTACCTGTCCCCCTGTTTTCTCCTCCTTTGTGGGACCTCGGGAGCCTTCCTCCTCCCCTAGCTCTTCTCTGCCCATCCCAGGAGAAGCATGATGGACAGCCACCCTTCAGCCTGAGACAGCACCTGCCCTGGGCAGCAGGAGAGCATGTGCCTCCCCTGCTCCGTGGGCTCTGTGCTGGGAGCAATGGGAGATGGGTGGTGGGTCTTGACGTGAGCCTGAAAGATCCCAGGGACTGCAGGGGACCTCAAATGGCAATGGGAAGGGAGGGTGGCCTGACCAGTCGTCAGGGAGGAGGATCACGGATCTCAGTGTCTATCTGCTCTCTCTGTAGCTCCCTTGCGCTGGCTGACCTCGAGCCGGAGCTGCGTGAGAGCATCGTGGCCAAACACGGGGACAAAGTGCCGTACGTCTACTTCAACAAGGGACTGTGAACAGAGACTACCTCAGGAGCCACTGTACTCCTCCAGCCCCCTGCCACCACCAGCCCCCATCCCCTGAGCAGGGCTCAGAGGCACAGTCCAGCCAGACCTGCCCCCCAACCCAGCACTATCTCTGCTGCCTCCTTCCCCCAGAGAGGCAGGATCTGGCTCTGTGTGCCCAGTTTGCAGCACTTTGGCTTTTCCTGAGCCACCCCACCCCACAATCTGGTGCTGGACATATCCCTGCCTCCCCATGTCCCTCTTGCCCTATACTTCCCGTGCCTTCCTCCTGCCCTGCGCAGGAGGATCTGCCCAGCCTGTCTGAGCCCCAAATGGTCACTGGGTTTGGCCCCACAAGGCATCAGGACCTCTCCCTGGGGCTCAGAGCACAGTCCTACCTCTGAAGGCAGGTGCCCTGCCATCCTACCAGGAACCAAATCACTTTGCTGCCTTAAACCACCACAAAAGCCTCTTACCAAGAGCTGGATCCCGCCTTGGCAGGTGGGAAGGGACCTGTCCCCTCTGCACAGGGAGCACCCCAAAGTCCAGGGACCAGTGCTTGGACCATGCCTGCCTTGCTCTCAGGTTCAGGTTTTATTCACTTTGTGATTGTCACAATCAAGGAGAGAAATAGCCAATTGTTTATAAGCTCTAGTTTTTGCAATCTACCCATTCCTCTAAGCACAAGAACCAGCCATCACCCTTGTCCTGCATCTCACTGTCCCCATGGTACGACAAAGGACCTGTAGCCTTGGGGGACTATTCACTATGGGACCCCTTGGACAAGGGGGAAGGAGACACAGGAGTCACAAAGCTGTTGGCATGTTAACTCAGGCCCTGAACAACAACACTGCAAATGACAGAGAGGTGGGCTGAAAAATAAAATGTGATGATTTTTAAAAAACAGCTGTGGGTATTGGTTTTGGCTAGTCGGGCACCAGGGTGAGGGTGAGCACAGGGGCCAGGAGAAGGAGGAAGAGCCGTGAGGGTCTGCAAGGGCTATCATGAGCCCTGAAAGCCTTGGGCATCCCATGCAGCCTTCCCTGAGAGGGCTTCAAACAGTCCTGCGGCAAGTGACAGAGAGAGGTGACAGTGCTGTGTTCATGGTGACTCTGGTCCTATTGGGGGATGACACTGGAGAACCCTTCCTACACCCATTGACCCTTCCTACACCCATGGGTGCTCTTTGTCTTCTTGGCCAGGCAGCATTTGCATGATGCTGACCCGAGTCTGTCACGAGGCCTCTCTCACCCCGAAGAAGAGCAGCTCGAGTTTGCTGCAGACTATTTTTGGAGGAGGAAGGAGCCCCAGAGTTTAACCCAAGTCCTGGGCTAAAGTCCTGGCCCTCAGCCACCTACATCCAGGCTCTCTGTGTGCTAATGAACATCCCTCGGTGGGAGAAGCATCTTTCTAACCAGCTGTGTGATGTGGCTCCTCGGAGAGTCCTATGGCCCAGCAGATGGTCCTCACTAGTCCCTCCAGCCACAGATAGGTTTCAGACCCCAGAGGGCAGCAGCATCCTCACATCAGCCACATGCCCGAGTGGAGACACAGGGTCTGCAGCTGGAGAGGGCTTTTTGGCATTCACCGCTCCGCTCCTGCAAAGAGAGCGGCCAAACCCAAAACGTACTTCTTGAAGGGCCAAGCTGCATCCACGGTAGGTTTGCTTCTGCCCAAGCTTGCACCAGGCAGAGGATAATGTCTCCAGCCGCATGTAGCCACAGCTAGAAAGCTGCACAAGAGCTCTGAAATAATTAATAGACCAGCAGAAAGTAGGGAAACATGTTCAAACTCGTGCATCTGTTCCCTGGGCATTATTAGATCTCTTGTTAATGTGCAATTAAAATAATAGATAAGCACATGAAGTGTAACAGATGTCACTCCTGTTGGGAGTGGGAAGAAGCCACCAGAGACATTTCTGCTCCCTGCTTTTCTTAAGCTCCTTAAGAGAAGCTGCTCTTGCCCTACACCCAAAACTGCTTTGAGCACTTCCAGACAAACACCTGTAGCAGCCTGGGCTGTATTTGGGTCCAAGGTGCCTCTGGCACACTCGGGAGCACAACGATGCTTGTAAAACCATAAAACCATGTGCCGCAGCACCCTGAAACTGCCACGCTCTTGCTGCTGACCCTTCCTGCGCTTGCAGTGCAGGGGTTCCTAGGAGAGCAGGGCAGCAGCCACCCAACGCCAAGGCAGGGACCACAGTGGGAAAGCCTCAGAGATTTTGTCACTCCTTTTTTCCTGTCCCCAGCTATACTGGAGGGATGATGGAGCAGGGGACCCTCTGAAGAGCTATTGCCACCTTGTGCCAGCTCTCCCTCTGCCCTGGGGAGCGGGACATGGTGCAGTTCCTTGCTCTTGGCCAGGGAAAGAGGGTTGCTCTGGGCTTGGAGATTCGGCAAGCCATCCTCAAGCCAGATCTCCCCCCCTCCCAAGCTTATAGCGGTGGATTCCGTCTTCAGATCGACATGGATTTATGCCAGCTGACAGTTTAGCTCAGCGGGGTTTCTAGGTTTCTAGGTTGTAGCTGGAATCTCCCCCAGAGGATGCAAGTCATCTCAATGGCTCACGTCGCCAGGGTGTTGGGAGACGGTCGCCACAGCTGGTGCCTGCCTGCACACCCCAAAACTGCAGTAACTCCCCAGCCTGCCTTGGTCTTGCCAGGGAGCAGAGAAGTCACAGCCAGGCTGCGGACAGCAAGTCCCCGTGCTGCCAAGGGTGGCTCTGGCCAGCCCTGCCTCCATTTCCCATTGCTGCAACAGGAAGGAAACCTCATTGCCAGGAGTCAGAGACGGACTCATTCCTGTTTGGGAAGAGCCGCAAGTGTTAATTGCTCTCCAGCAATGAGTCACACCTGATCTGGGCTTGTCCTGTGCTCTCTTGTCCTTGCTCCTGTGCACTCGCTGCCTTCTCCCTGCTGTGCCTCTAATTTCAGGGCCAGCTGGAAACAGGAATAAAGCTCCTTTAATAACTGTGCGTAGCTGAAATGTCAGTGCTGCAGCGTGTTTATAACCTCCCTTCAAATGATAATCAGACCAAAGATGTCATGTTGGGCTGCAGCAGAGGCCAGGGAGGGGCTGGGAGGGGAAATGGGGGGCTGGGGTCTCCTCTGAGGCATCATCAGCCCCAGCAGGCAGGCTTGGCTCACTGCTCCTCACCCAAAGGCCGGTGGAGGCTGGTGAACGGGCTGCCTACAGAGACAGGAGCAAGCAGGTTGCACATGTAATGGGTTAACATCTACTGGGGAGCTGATCCAGCGGGGTTAGGTGTGCCCCAAGTACTGCCCTGATTGAAAAATGCCAGGGTAGGAGATAAGCTGCTAAGTCGATTATTTTTCTTCTGGCTTTTCTTAACGTGTTATCTGAGCATCTGATAATGCCAATCCGGCATGGAGGCCTGGCATGCCGAGAGCTGTGGTGTGTAAACCCTCAGCCACTGCCCCAGAAGCACAGGCCACCTCCCCTGAGTTGTGAATTAACCCCAAACACTGGTGCCCTCACTCTCCCGGGGGGTGCAAGCCCAGGAGAGGGACCACTGTGTGGGGACACCCTGGCTCCTGGCCACGGTGGCAGACCCTCTTCTCCACACTTCTCCCATCTCCGGACAGGGCTGGCACTGACACCTTAGGTCTTGCACTTGCACCCAGAAGGCCAATCCCATCCTGGGCTGCATCAAGAGATGCGTTGCCAGGAGGTCCAGAGAGGGGATTCTGCCACTTTGCTCTGGTGAGACCTCACGTGGAGTATTGTGTGCAGGTCTGGAGCCCTCAATATAAGAAGGATATGGACCTGATGGAGCGGGTCCAGAGGAGGGCCACAAGGATGATCAGGGGGATGGAGCACCTCTGCTATGAGGACAGGCTGAGGGAGCTGGGGTTGTTCAGCCTGGAGAAGAGGAGGCTCCGGGGAGACCCAATAGCAGCCTTCCAGTACCTGAAGGGGCTACAGGAAGGCTGGGGAGAGTCTGTTTACAAAGGCCTGTAGTGACAGGACAAGGGGCAATGGCTTTAAGCTAGAAAATAGCAGATTTAGATTGGATATTAGAAACAAGTTCTTTCCTGTGAGGGTGGTGGAGCACTGGAACAGGTTGCTCAGGGAGCTGGGTGAGGCCCCTTCCCTGGAGATATTCAAGGAGAGGCTCGACGAGGCCCTGGGCAACCTGGTCTAGTTGGGGGTGTCCCTGCTGACTGCGGGGGGATCAGACTAGATGACCTTTGGAGGTCCCTCCATCCCGGACCATTCTACTTGAATCTATTTGTATTGGAAAGTCCAGCCCCATGCCGCTGCCGCCATTTTCGCACCCTCTGTGCATCAAGCTCCCCGGTGTGTCTCTGTGGGGGCACTGGGAGGAGGCAGAGCAGGAATCACCCTACCTGGGTGTCACCAGGTGAATGGGGAATGAGTGCCTGGGTGCCGTTGGGGTGCCAGGGAAGCCACAGCAGGCTTGTGCACCCCCCCTTTTTGCAGTGCCTAGGTCTGCCCCCGGGGGTGCACTGCGCTGGGGGTGCAGGCTGAAGGGGCAGCCCCCACACCCCCTCCCCAGCCAGTTCCGCCACTCACAACATGGCGGTCCTCGCCCCTCTCCAGGCTCCCTCCCCCGGTGCGCCACACTCAAGATGGCAGCTCCCAGCGCGCAGGTCCCGCCCCTCCCGGTTCTACCCTAAGCGACAGTGCGCTCAGCCAATGGTAGGCCAAGAGCTGCGCCGCCCGCCCAATAGGCGACGGGCTGGGGCGGGGCGGGGCCCGGGGTGCCCCCTCGGCTCCCGTCCCGGGCCGCAGTCGGGCTGGGGAGGCGGGGAGCGGGGGGTGGGGGGGATGGCGAGGAGGCTTCGCGCCGCCATGGCCTTGCTGCTGTTCCAGGCCCTGCCCGAGGGCCTGCCCGCCAGCGTGGAGCCTGCCCAGGTAGGGGCTGCCCCGGGG